CAGCCCCCTCTGGCAATGGATGGCATCCTTGTACTGACTCTGGGCCTGCTTTCTGCCCTGTCTGGAAGAGATCAAGTTTGCCTTAAGGGCCTCCCAGCTGCCCTGCCAGCTTGCCTGGTAGATGGGCCCAGCTGCTCTAACCCCTGAGGATCTTGCTCTGCCATCTTACTCTGGTGGAGCCCTTGTAAGTCAGTTGTAGACCAGGGACTGAATCCCTCACTACCTGCTACCACTGCAAATATGAGGCTGAAGCGCTCCCCCAACGGAGACACTGAGGTCATGGGGTTGAAGTGAGGCCGAATGGTAGTCTAAGGCAAAAGGTAGAAAACCCTGGTATGAGCTAGACCGCTCCCAGCACCAGCACAGATCTTAAGGGGTATGACCAGGGATGGCCAACCCCTCCCCTGCTGCCCAGGCTGTTTGTCCGGAATAAGGAGCAGACCTGCCAAAACAATCTGGAAAGGAAGGCTCCCTGTGGCAATCTAGGCAAGTCGGCTGGCTATCAATAACAAAAACGCGGCCAAAGTATCAAAGAAAATGGCTGCCGCTATAAAAAAAAAAGCTCCAAAATGTCTTTCACGCAAAAAAACAATTTTAAAATGGCCACCTCATCAAAAATAAGATCCAAAACGGCCACTGCAAGAAAGGGAAAACTCCTAAATGGCCACCACCAGCAAGGAAACTCAAGGGACCCCCAATGCCGGCAGCAAGAAGCTTTAAATTGCCTCCAGCAGAGGCTAAACAGTCGATTTAGAGTGCAGGGGTCCCACGGCAATTGCACAGAGCTGCGCCCGCCGCCCATACATTCCTCGCCTCCGATAGCCTGCCGGGCAGTAGGAGGCACCTGGGCAATCCCAGGACACCTCAAACCACACTGGTGAAAAGAGAAAAATTAAAAACTCACCAAGCCTGCTCTCTGGAGAAGGAAAAAATAAAAAGAAAGGAAAATTTACTGTAAAAACACAAAAAAGAGAGTCCGAGTAATCTGCCAAGTACTGAGAGAAAATGAAAACGCATCCACTGAGCTTTGACTGAATTGAAAAAACTTTCCAGTCAAGGCAACACCAGAAGCATGGCTAAAGTTTCAATTCAGTCCTGGGCAGATTGGCTGAGTTTAACCCACACTTTGACTCTCCAAGCAGCACACAGGAAAATAGACAATCATTTGTCTGGAAAGATATAGGGTCTCCTGCTTGAGCAGTGAGTTGGACTAGAAGACCTCCAAGGTCTCTTCCAACTCTATTATCCTATGTTCAAATTGACAGAGAACATTGGATATCACAATTATATGTCTATGGCTTACTATGTGGCTTATACATTTTAAAAAATATCCAAAAATTAGACTTAAAACCTCTATTATACAAGCCTATGTTAATCCACTTGCCTCTAAAGACCAAAAAAAAAAAAATAGTATCTCTGAAAATAAAGGTATTGGGTCATAAAGTAGTTCTTACTTAATGATGAAAACTGGGAACAGCAACTGTTGCATGGTCATAAAATGTAATATCATGTGACTACACTGATTTATGATGGCCATATTATGTGAATCCTGTACAGTTGCAACATCCTATGGCCATGTGATCACTACATACAACTGCCAACTTTCCCACTGACTTTGCTTTTCAGGAGCTGGCAGTGAAAGTTGTAAATGGCAACCAATGACAGTGAATATTCTGTGAATGTTGTAATTGAAAATAGATTTCTAAACTCCTAGCTCAGTGATGGCGAACCTATGACACGCGTGTCAGTGCTGACACGCGTAGCCATTTGGGGTGACA